GGGGGGGGGGGGGGGGCATCACCTGCCCAAGGGTGGGTTAAATATTAAATAAAACAGCTCTCATCATACACTGATGATGAAACTTTTTTCAGAGAATCATTTGTGTAAGCACTGCCTTGCTTATATATTTCCAAAAATACAACAGGCCTTTTGTTGAAGCTAGCATGGTAAATTAATAAACAACACTAGTATAGGTAATCAAATGGTGAGCAGTGAAATTAGGAAATAATTTCACACACATTTTGTCAAAATGCAAGTGAAATTATTTCTTGATTTCACAAGTGTACTATTTGATTAATAACTTTTAGTATGATATGTGACAAGTTACACTTCCAATCGTCGCTTTTTGACTGGTTTATTGAATTGAGAAAGTTCACACCAAACGTTGACATGGCAATTTTTTAATTTCACTATCTTGTTAGAAATTAACGCTGAAATTTTGTGCCAAGGTTAAGAATAATTAAGACAGACATTAAGTTGTCACTTCCCTTTGTTGACCAGGCACCACAGAGCACTCTTGCCGGCAGACGTCAACGACAGCAACGGGTATACAACATGATGAAAGACCTTCAGCAGAAGCATTTAGCCACAATAATGCAGGGCAAAATAAGTGAGCAGGAAAATACTGATCTGTCCGAGTCCCAGAGCATTTGCCGTATATGCCATTCCTCTGGTGAAGAACCCCTCATAACACCTTGTTACTGTTCTGGCTCTGCAAAGCATGTCCATGCATCTTGTCTGTTAACCTGGTTCAAAAAAGAAGTCAAAAACACCTGTGAACTATGTCGATATAAAGTTGATATCAAGAAAAAGGGAAAGCCATATGCCGAGGTAAGTTTGTTTAATATCTTTGATTCAGTCAACAGTAGCAAAGGGTAGATAAAATGGTTTGCATTATAAGAGAATGAGGAGCCATGAGTTATGGTGTGGGATACCTTTGGATGACTCTTTTTATATTGGTAATGCTTTCTATTATTTTGTTTTCTGATCGAACAGCAAGTCGTTATTTACATCTTTAAAGCCTGTTCAAAGTGTGGGTACAAGTTTGATAATACATGGTTGCCTATTTGTACGGAATTTTAAACAATGTTGTTCTGCAAATTAGCAAATCAAAACTGCTGGTAAGCTCTGGTTACTGGTGAAAATCGCCATGTAGTAAACGTTAATGTACAGGGCTGTCAGCTACCCTTGAGATTTTTCAAGACACCAAATGGATAAGACCTCCTTTTTGCTGCATAATCTGCCCTAAAAATGCCACATCTATGAGAAGCACTAAAAGGAGACACTCCCTGACCAACATCATGTTTTTGTTTCATTATAGTGGCGCAAGCCAGAGGACAAGCCTACGCCGTTGATTTGGTTTACTGTATTTGTCGTTGGACTATTTTTAAATGTATTCTCCATCTCTGTGAGTGCATCTGAACTGTGTGTCTCAACAGCATGCGTAATATTTTATGTGGTAAATGGATTTGGAATAATTCTCGATGCTGCTCTCCTGTATTGCTGGTGGACAAAATGTCTCTTCTACTGGAGGAAATGGTGTGCTTTGAACCAAGATTGGTCCATTGTCGTTGGCCCTGGCCAAACAACTGGGCCACAGCAACGGAGTCGAGAGGAAAGAAGTAGTGGACGGACTATACAAATGTCACACATAGTATGATAAACTTACTGCAAATGAAACAGTTTTTAGTCTTAGGTAACTAGGCCCTGTCAGAGTACTATATAATTTCCTCAAACTCATCAAGTTTAAACAAAGAAAATCATGACCGGACGGTGTTTGGATAATCTGATTGCAGTTAGCATAGATTTTTTTGACTTTATTTCTCAGTTTTCTCCTTAGTTTTAGTTTCGATTGAGAAGATATATCAGACATTCAAGGCAGTGTTTGACCACATTTCCAAACACCTCAAGGTTCCTCAAAAACGCCTTGCTACTAGAGGTACTTTCAACTCCCTTCTCAGTGTTTGGAAATGTAGTCATACTTAATGTACATGGATTTCAAGAGGTGATTATAGAATGAGTATATACAGACCAGACATGTCTACATGTACATTGATATTGTAACATAGGAATGTTTCTCTATAACATTAGGAGGGAAATTGCAAATTTGTCACTAAATAGATTTCAGATTTTTCATTAAGCGGTCTGAGTAACTGCTGTCCAGGGTCACTGTAAATTGACACTTCACTCTCACAGCATCTTTCTACTTCTCTGCCATGGAATATGCATGCATGAGTTGCAGTTGAGTGTAATCAGGGTGAAAAGATTAAAAGCGCATGGTTTCCTCATTGAAAGGCCACAACTTAAAATTCAAATTCACATCTTTTAAGTTGAAAGTATCACATGTATGTTAATTTATTACACAATTTTCATGAAACTTAATTTCGTAATTTTGGAAGAGTGAAATTATGAGATGCTCAATTTTCACAAGATTGAAGACTTCATTGTTCACTCGACACACAACAGTGCTTGTCATGCCATGGGATGCATAAGGACTTATTGGTCACTCCAGATTTCATTTATTGCATTAAAGCCCCTGTTTTCCTGGTGAATATTTACAGCACTAATCCAGGCACAAATTCACATACTGTATTTGAAACTTTGTGGGAAATATTATTTGGCAAGTACTGGTACTCAAAAAGAATTGTACATAGCACACTTTATTGATCAAAATAGGCACAGAAAGTGTGGCAATCAGATAACCTATCAGTATTTTGTTGGAGAAATTAAACAAGCACCTTCCCCCATTATCTCTCCATTAACCCCCCCCCCTGCCCCCTTCAATATGGTGTCCCCCAAACATGATAAGCCCATCGAAAAGGGGGATGGGATTTATGGTAACTGTACTGGCTATGCACTGGCATATCGCTAGTTGTAAGAGAATTCATAGATTGATGTATAGATGGTCATTGTATTTACTAGTTCGTTTTGTATAATAGCCTGTAGCCACTGATTAGTTAAAGCAGATGATGTTTAATTGTATACGATTATTTTATGATGAGAAGTAATACATTCGCAGTAGAATATTATACAAAAAAATTAACATCAAAACCTTGTTCGACAGATTAATTTGATGATCACTAATTTGTATTTCAAAATGTTTTACAGAATAGTTGCATATATTTAGATGTTGGTTGTATAAAGCCTACTGCAAATAAACTTACTAAGTTGTAGTATTACGAAAAATGCTGTCTTGTTAAAAAGAAGTCCTCTGAGAAGCAAAAAAAAAAAACTGGTCCGCAAGGCGTACTTCTGGGCTTATGCTTAGTTTTATTCCATTCGGTTGGAGTAAAAACTAAGAAAATTTTTCATTACACCCTGTGCTTCAGTAAAACACCGTGTAGAGCTGTGATTAATTATCTTGTCAATCACAGGAAATGATATGGTCTTAGTGCGTTGAGGGGGAGGGGGGGAGTTGCCGAGTTAAAAGGAGGCGGGGAGGCTCCTTGGAGATTGGAAGTAGACTGCTAACGAAGACCAATGTGAGCGTACCTCAAACTTTGTACGACCCCTAAGTAATAACTGTCCTAACACAGACTCACAAATCTGGTTTGTGGTGAAGTTGAGAGAGCCACATTTTGTACGTCACGGTTTGCGTGAAACGTTAAGCCTACGTTTGTCGTTCTCATAATTTGAGTTTCGGCCGCCTGTGATCGAACGAAAAAACTTTTGCGCTCTGTCCTGGACAACACAAATGAGACCTAAAGACCCCTACACCAACCTCGTTCCCAGTGGTTTTTCCTTTCTCTAAGTGAAAAGCACTGGGAACGAGGTTGAACCCTCAATGAGACATCGAGCAAAACTGTGTCTTTCGCTTCAGAGTTCCGCGAGAGGTGGAGTTGGGGATGAGGAGAGCGGAGGAGGGGGTGGGGGTGTTGAATGAGAGAGCGTGGTTAAATTAGTGCTGGGTGTGGCAACCTCACAAATTTTCTCCCGTTCCACTTCACATAGATACTTGTACTAATAGCGTTGTTGCAGTTTCTTACAAACGTGGCCCAACAACTAGATTTTACAAACACTTACCAGTTGATGTTTGTTTCTGCTCGATAAATTTCGTGCTAGCATTGTCATGACCAAAGATTTCCCTTTCATTGGGCGAGGTGTTTTTAAAGCTTCTTAAGTTTGACGTACTTGAAAACTTCAAAAAAGCATTCATGAGAAGTATTTGGCAGACAGTCCGAAATTGTACGTTTGCCAAGTTTTATTTGCATAAATCAACAAAAATGTACAAAATTAATATTACAACACCCAAAGTATTTGTTTGCGAATTGTCTGCAATCCATCTTCTGTACAGTGTGATATTTCCGCGGCTCTTTAGATCAACGTAAAATTAAGAATTTGATGTAAACAAGTTTACGATTAATATCGGCATGCAGTCACATTCATCCAGCCGGCACGAGACCATTAATCAGACTGTCCACTCATTATCAACACTTAGTTAGCTTTCAACAGTTCAAAAAAAAACTGTCAAGAAGTACTTTGTTCAGCTGTACAATAGCGATTCTACTGAGACTGTACTGAACTGTGTATCATAAAGTTATTGCGCAATACAGTAAAGTACGTGGTACTGTTTTTCATGCTAAAAATTAAGGTGGTTCTAACTTTACGACAAACAGTCGAGATCATTGAACATTGAATTGAGAGCTATTGAGCAATACTTACATATAAACACGATTTTGCAAAGTGAAAGTTTTTCGGCCTTTCATCTCTCAGTTACTATCTTACTTCACATCTACTCAACAAGCCATGTGTATGGCTCGAAAAGGCTTTTGTGTACTTAAGCACTTATTGAATTCTTTCTGAATAACCTCCACGAGGTGTTATTTTTCTGGCGTTTATGTTCTAATTTGATCAGTCCAGGACTACTACAAAAGTTACGACTTCCCCAGCATTAGGAGCGCCGGCAATTTCTGCAATAAACCGGTTATTGAACGATTGTAAGTTGAGCTGGTTAGAAATATGGTGGGCACGTGCTAATTTCCAGGCGTTGCTAGGAAACAGCGAACACACTGATCTGGGTTGTTTTGTCAAGGTTTTCCGAACCATAAAAGCTTGCATTGCATTCATATTTTACATCGACCAACTCAAAATTATATTTACAATGATCAATCAATAATCTCTTTAAACCACCACATAATGTACAGTTACCAGATTTGTTAAGTTCAGTTTTTCTTACTAAGTTTCTCTCACTGTGTGCGACTTGTTTTCAATGATTTCTTGAGCGCAGTAAAGTTGGGTGTAAGCTCTTGTCTGCAGGGTGGTACAGTCGTGGAGATCTTTCGTTGCCGTGCGGGTTTTTTAGCCGGCTTAGCAGGTGTGGAGCTATTAAACCCGGGTACAGCCATTCTAAAGAAGCAGGCTCCGCGGAAGATCTCCGCTTGTTCGCTTTTTGGCAGGTCTTTCACCAGTTTCACCGTCTGTTGCCAGCGACAGATCCCTTCTCTCCTAACAGAGGGTGTCTCGGTCGCAACGGTCAGCCTCCTTTGAAATTGTTTCCTCCTCTTGATAATTGCCTCGCGATCGGGGGTTGGATTTTCACCTCCTTTCTCCCCATCGAGCGCAGTTTCATCTTTTGCGCTAGTTCCGGCATTTTCTTTGCTTATTTCTTGCGCAAGATCTTCTAATTTGGGAGCAACACACTGGGAAATGCTTCTTGGCCTAAATGGTTTTAATATGGTGGCTTTATTGCGGTCCAACGAAGACTTTGCTTGCTTCTCATTTTCGTCCCAAGCATGGAACCTTCTTTGGGCGTTACCTGATTCGTCTGCCAGCATGAAACCTGTTGGGGCCACGACTTCTGACAAACTACGACGATACTTTGGCTTGGACTGCTGGTCTGAGGCTAGCCAGCGAGCATTGCTTGGCTGACTTTCAATGCTGTGGGCCTTGTTTTCTCTTTCTGCAACGCCTTTCTCCTCAGCCAAATTCTGCGAGAGGGGAAGACACTTGTCTGACAAGCTTCGGTGATACTTTGGCCTGGATGTTGCGCAATCGATTCTCGGATCAAAACAAGCTGATGAGGTGCTTTCGTCAAAGCCATGTTGTTGCTGTGGTTTGTCGGCTTTTGTTAGAGGTGGTAAGGAACAAACACTGTTTTGCGCGACTTTAAGCGGAAGACGGCATTGCTCCCCGTTTTTCGCGTCGTAGTACTTGGCAATGTACAAATGCTTTAGAGCAAAGTTGGACATTTTCGCTGAAGATTCTCGAAGAATCTTGTTTTTCATTTTGTCTATTTCGTCCAGCTTCTTGCAAAGAGACTTTTCCTCGTACGGGTTCTTGCTCAGTAGAGCAATTGACAAATAACTCTTCATGTCGTCAAAGCCTTCTGTCTTTTCCTCGTCCACTCAGAGATCGTTCCCAACCCTTCTTTGAAAGACATACAAGCTACGACTGTAGGATTTATTAAGCTCATCAGTTAATTAAGTACCATTTAGTTGTTTGAACAACGAAGCATTCCAATTTCGTTCGTTCTTCTCTCCGATTTTGTTTATTTACTTTGACCAGGCTTATCTTTAATTCTTGTTTGAACAACACCTCTCTTGCTCTTTGAAAGATCCCATGCAGACAGTGCACGTGCAGTTTATGCCCCTCAACTGAAAAACGACTCCGGTCATAAGCGTGGCACGTTATAAGGAAAGAGTCTATAAAAAGTTCTCCGTTTGTAACCTCTCTCAAACAATATTTAGTTTGTCTGAGGCCAACACGGTCTTTGACCTCATTGATGCAAAATTTTCATTAAATGTGTGAAAAAAATGTATAAGTGTAAAATGGCTCAACATGTCATATGAAATGCGCGCGCAATGAACGCGGATCGTGAGTATGAATCGTTAACAGTGCATGCAACTAATTCTTTAAACTATTATCATTAATTACAGGCGTTAGACTATAAGTGATTTTATGACATTTATGTCCCCGATACTCTTCAGCCGTGTTAAATCTCCAGGCTTTTTTCCATCATGACGCGTCGACCGATTACGCAACAGATTACGCAAGACATTATTCGCCGGTTATGTAACTTACTACGGCCTTATGTCCCATTTAGACACGAAGAGATTTATGTATGTGTATGTATGTCTTCTATGTAACTTACTAACACCAGATACACAGACCCCAACGAGTAGCCGGTGATCAGGCGTGTTTTGTTTTTGTTTTGGAAAGGGATGGCATGCAGGAAATGAGGGAGGGTATTAAGCACTTAATGACTGGCCCCGCGGGAAACAGTGAGTTTTGTTTCCCCGAGATCCTCAATATTCCCCGGGGCGAAGCCGAGGGGAACATTGAGGTCGAGGGGAAACAAAACTCACTGTTTCCCGCGGGACCAGTCAT